GCCAGGCGTGGAGCGAGGGTCATAATCGGCTGCAGAAACCTACAAAAGGGTAAAGAGGCACTGAAAGAAATTAAAGAACGCAGTGGAAATTCAAATATTTTTCTTGAGGAGATAGATCTGGCTTCTTTGGAATCAGTTCGCAAGTTTGCAGACAAAGTTCTCAACAGCGAACCCCGCCTAGACATCCTGATCAACAACGCCGGAGTGATGGTCTGCCCGTATCAGAAGACAAAAGAAGGATTTGAGATGCAGTTTGGTACGAATCATCTTGGGCATTTCTTGCTGACGATACTGCTCCTTGACCGACTGAAACGCTCACAGCCGAGTCGTATCGTAATCGTTTCTTCGTCCGCTCACGCAATGGGTAGTGGCAAGATAAACTTTCAGGACATTAACTATGAAAAAAGCTATGACAGCTGGGCCGTCTATTATAACAGTAAGCTTGCAAACGTGTTATTCACTCGCGAGCTGAGCAAACGTCTGGAGGGTACCCACGTAACGGTAAATGCCCTGCATCCAGGAGCTGTTGCTACTGAATCGCAACGACACTCATTTCTAGGCAGTACTCTGCTATACCCTGTCCGCTGGTACATGTTCAAGACCGTAGAACGGGGAGCCCAAACTACCATCTACTGTGCCGTTTCTGAAGAAATGGAAGGAGTTAGCGGGAAGTATCTGAAAGATTGCGCTATTGTGGAGCCATCCAAGGGTGCCCAGGATGATGAAGCAGCCAGGAAGTTGTGGGATCTGAGCGTAAAGATGGTTGGACTGGAAAAGTGACACTAAAATTAGATAACAGAATCGTTACCTGTTCAATGATTTTATGCCAGTGCTATTGTTGTTAGTTACCGGTATTTAGTCTAGTGCCGGTGACAGTAATATTATTCTGTTATTTAAGAAGAGTACACAACTACGGATAGAGTTAACCAATTCTTGTGTAAAATTCTTAGTGTTTTTATATGTAGCAAGCTACCGAATAAAAGAAAGGTGCCAGATGCTAGCAGATCTTAAATAGATATGATATATATCCGCAAAGGTGTACAAGCAGCCTTGTAAAATTGCCACCAGTGACAAAGCACTATACAGTACCTTTTTTCCATCAATTTTGTAAATAATTATTTATCTAGTTTTTTTTATTTAATTTTTTATTTTTTCTAATATTTACCTCTTTGCTATTTAGTTAATTATTTTTACAAAACCCTCATACAAAAAGCTTCTGTACCTCTGACTGAGTCAAAATAAATTGATAGATCACTTCCTTAGAGAGAATTTTTCAGCCACAAACTTCTCCTTCCTATTTTCAGGGAGAGATCTTGTTCTTGTGCGGGTAGAGAGCAACCTCGTCCCCAGGGCGCTTTTCAGTGGCTTTGGAGGCGAGGTTGGGTGTGGAGCTGGCTGCTTGCAGACAACCATACCACCCTGGCAATGGCAGCTGTGGACACCTTTTCAACCTTAGCTTCACTTAACCTGTTCCAGGCTCTGAGCTAGTCGAGTCCTAGACTGCGAGCAGTCCCTCTTCAGTCCGTCAAGTCTAAGCTTGGCAGGACTGGAGAGAGCGAATTGGCCGAGAGGCAATAAAATCGAGCGAAGCGAGCGAGCGAAAGCCGAGGGTTTCCCTCTCGGCCAATTCGCTCTCTCCAGTCCTGCCAAGCTTAGACTTGACGGACTGAACAGGGACTGTCGCAGTCTAGTCGAGTCCGCAAAATTGAGAATGCACGAACACGAAAATAAAACGGGAGGAACCTGGCAGACCGCGCGCTCATATTTTCGCGTGCCTTTCACTTACTCGTCATACCCAAGCTTCCCCACTAGCTGAGAGCAAGGAACAGGCTACTTCATTTGGGCTTGTCAGCCTGGACAGTTAAGGTAGGGTAGCTGAACACAGCCTTTGGTAATACAGGAGCCAGACACAACCTTATCTTTAGTAGTTTTCACTAAGAAAATGTTGAGGAGGACCCTGCCACTGACGCCGAATGGTGAATGGTCATGAATGATGGCCCTTTGTGCTTTAATTTGGCCTAAAAATTAGGAGGGGGCTTAGCCACCATTCCCCGGCCCCATCTATATAGATCCGTCACCGATTAAAGTAGAGATTAGCTAAATATAACCCTGGGGCCGGTTGCTCGAAGCCTGGTTAGCGCTAACCGTTGGTTAAGAGGTATCAAAATGTATAGGTTTCCATGGTATTTAACGCTGGTTAGCACTAACCATGCTTCGAGCAACCCAGGCCTGTTTGATAAAGCCTTTGCAATTTGATCCATTACAAGCCTCGGTACGAGGCAGGCAGGGACCTGTGTTCGAGCATAGAGACGAGGTTACGCATGCATGTTTGACTCAGCGTATTGTATTGTTGTTGTATTGTCCAAGTTCTAGCTCGAACATGGCTGTCCCAGCTGCGATCGGTGTAGCAGGAATTGCTGTTCTTTATGCAGGGAAAAGATACTTCCAAGGGCCTCGATGCAAGAGTAACAAGAGCCTAAAAGGAAAAACCGTGGTTATCACCGGTGGAAACACTGGCATCGGTAAAGAAACCGCGGTGGATTTAGCCAGGCGTGGAGCGAGGGTCATAATCGGCTGCAGAAACCTACAAAAGGGTAAAGAAGCACTGAATGAAATAAAAGAACGAAGCGGGAATGCCAATGTTTTCCTTGAGGAGATAGATCTTGCCTCTTTGGAGTCAGTTCGCAAGTTTGCAGATACAATTCTCAACAGCGAACCCCGTCTAGACATTCTGATCAACAACGCTGGGGTGATGGCCTGCGCGTATCAGAAGACAAAAGATGGATTTGAGATGCAGTTTGGTACGAATCATCTTGGGCATTTCTTGCTGACGATGCTGCTTCTTGACCGACTGAAGCTTTGTCAGCCGAGTCGTATCATAAACGTGTCTTCGTCCGCTCACAGAATGGGAAGTGGCAAGATCAACTTTGAAGATATAAACTATGAAAAGAGCTACAGCAGCTGGGGTGCATACTTCGACAGCAAGCTTGCAAACGTGCTCTTCACACGCGAATTGAGCAAACGCCTTGAGGGTACCCACGTGACAGTGAATTCACTGCATCCTGGAGCAGTCACCACTGATTTGCAGCGCCACTCTTTCATAGGAAGTGGTCTCCTCTTTCCCCTTCGCTGGTATGTATTTAAGACAGCCGAACAGGGAGCCCAAACTACCATTCACTGTGCAGTCTCTGAGGAGATGGAAGGTGTCAGTGGAAAATATCTGCGAGATTGTGCCGTTGTGGAGGAATCCAAGGGGGCCCAGGATGATGCCGCAGCCAAGAAGCTGTGGGATCTGAGTGTGAAGCTGGTTGGGCTGGAAAAATAGACAATTAGAAGATGGAAGTATCTAGCTACAGCTTTACATATTAGGCTGGACATTTGTACCATTTTCCTTAACTTCTTTAGCAATCAAGAACCACACAATACAGTTAGATACATGTGTAAACAGTTTTATAAAAACTGGGCATAACACATGATTAATATAAAAACTATTATTCATTGTAATACATAAGGTTCTTTAAACACATTCTACATGTAAGAAAAAGTATGTGTTCCTTAAAAAGGCAGCATTACAAGGATTAGGGATATGTTAACCTTGATTTATGATATTGATAGAAACTAACTAGTGCTTGAAATAGGAACTGGGCATTATCTGTTAATGTAACCTGTTGTGTTTGAATAAAGTGTGAAGACTGACGAGGTCAAATGGTTCCTTGAAATCTTGGTATAATTTGTGATGTGCGTCAAACTATTGTTTTTGTGCATTTCTTTCCATCTCAGAGTTTGAAAATTTTTGCCCGAGATCTGAGATTTGTCAACAAAGGAATATGGGTCTTGAATGTCACTTTTTTCCTGTAGGATGGAAGTGTTGCCATTAATTTAGGATAGGTGTGTTCCCTAAAAGGGTTTAAAACCCTGATCCTATGTAAGGGAAAAAAATTGAAACATCACACCCTATAGGGGAAATAGAAAGTATAAAATTGTGTCAATAGGTTGTTTTTATTAATTTTTTTGTTTTTATAGACATTCACAAAGCGAGCATTCTGTAGTTCTAACCTGTTTGAATTGCCTTTGCTTTTATCAAACGGCTAGAGTGTGAAAAAGGATTCGCTATTTATGGACTAGGTACCATGTAAACAATACCCTGTTCTGCAACACACACCTAAATAGCTTAAATGCGAGAGTACCTCGCTGAGTAATTTGTCGGACCCTACATATTTTGAGGGAAACTCTTAATCTGATCTGCTCATCCAGTCTTTAATGCTTTCTTCAATAATCTTGATTTTTTGAGTTGCTTATTCTGTAAAGAGTCTGATCGGAGTGAAATCTGTTGACTTTGCCTTTTTTTACTTTGAAATATGCAAATGAACTTTATGCTTGAATGATTTAGTTTTGTCAGCTTCCTTCCTAACCCCTCTAATGTTTGCTTTAGTCCGATTTGAAATGCAAAATGATTGACTTTGAAAGCAGTTTCTGTCTGAGTATTATTTTAACTTCAAAGGAATGTGACAGCCTGGGAGAGGTTTAATTACTGTTTGTGTGTCAAACTAGGATACCTAATAAATTATGTTAAGTCGAGAGAAGCATCAACCTGCTGTTCTTTTTCTTTCACTCCAAATATATATCAACAATTCCAGTCCAGTCAGTACAGAATTTGCCAAAGGCAATTTTATCATTGTCTTGGCCCCATTTAGTCTCCATTGCAACCGTCACGCAGTAAAAACGACTGCCACGGAGACTAGGCCTCATTGTATCACCCTTTTCTGCAATAAAAGCGGCTGTAACAACAACTTTACCTAAGCTTTTTACTTGAGGGAAGGGGACAGGGGTGGGTTTGTTCCACCTGGCCTCTACATATACTTTTAAATGCCGTAGTTAAGCGGTTGGAGACTACGATCAGACAAACGGCCCGACTTCACACTCACTCCCATAACAAAACGCAAACCCAAATACCCGCTCCTGGAAAACAAACCTTATATCGGACCTCTTATATTGTAGCCTGCGAACAGCAGAAGTATTTCTGGTCGTCGCTTTTCGCCCAGAAATCAGTCTGCTGTTCGCAGGCTACTGGTATTGCGGACAATGACTTATCTTAAAGCGTAAGCGTGACTCGGCAATTAATTTACTCACACTCACCCCCTTAACAAAAACTAAACCCAGCTACCCCCTGCTGGAAAACAAGCCTTGTCAGTTACTGAAAATTAATCTTAAAAAAGGTGAAGCACTGATTCTTCCGAAAACAAAACCGTAAATCAACATGAGACAAATACCCCATCTTCCTAAATGGGAATCAAATCGCCAATATCACAGAATACTATTAGCTACTATTATCTGGGCATGACGTTTAATTCAAATGGACGTTTCTAAATTTCCAAACAATTATCTGCAGAGAGAACAAGAAGATCTATTTATATCGAGCCGTGTTTTCGTGTCAAATATGATCCAGTGACCCACTTAAAAGGGGCGAGCTTTGTTGAGAAACCACTTAAGAGCTGTGGCGAGAGGAGGAAGGAAAAATATCTCGCTGGAACTGTCTTTCATATACTAGGCATGTGACCTACTTAAACCTGATTGGCCAAACTACCATCTGTAGAGACCAATGTGCGGTTTCTAATCACTTGTGTGAATATTTTGCTACTGTGGCTGATGGGATTGGAGACACCAGTGCGGTTGATGACAAAGTTCTCGCCACCCACCCTAGTGTCCAGAATATTACGCAGAAGATGACAGGATATCAAGGCTTCCAGTTTCAGAATCTTCAGAGTTTTGAAGTTGAAAAGGCGCTGCAAAACGTCAATGTAAGGAAGAGTACAGGCTGGGACGGCATCCCTCCCATGGCGCTCAAGCTTGGAGCTACTGAGCTAACAAATCCATTGACGTCACTATTTAATTCATGCATAACCCTCGGAGAGTGGCCCTTGGGATGGAAAAGGGGTGAATGGACACCCGTTTTTAAGAAGGAAGATCCCCATAAAATGGGAAACTACAGACCCATAACTGTACAAGTTACTGTAAACAAACTCTTTGAACAATTACTCAGCAAGCAACTCAGTTATGGTTTTAATAACAAACTGTGCGACAAACTAACAGCTTACAGGAAAAACAATAGCTGTGAGACAGCTCTCTTATCTTTGACTGAGAATTGGAAATTCGCTCTGGATGAGCATAACGTTGTGGGTGTTCTCTCCACGGACATGAGCAAAGCCTTCGATTCACTTTACCATCCACTTACACTTGCAAAACTTAAAGCTTATGGTGTTGAGGAAAGAAGTCTGCGATTGATGGGCTCCTACTTCACAGACCGTTATAACAGGGTCAAGCTAGGATCTGTAGTGAGCGAGTGGCAGAGGGTGACCAGGGGATGCCCACAGGGTTCTGCATTTGGACCTCTCATCTGGAACATCTTCCAAAACGATTTGACTTATACTGTTGATGCGAACATGAATATGTATGCAGATGACCACCAGTTTTATGTCGTTCGCAGCACCCTCTCTGATGTGCATGATGATCTTGCTGTTTGCGCTGAGTCAGCATCTTCATGGTACAGAGCTAATTTACTAAAGGGAAATTTGGACAAGTACCAGACAATGGCACTTGGTTGCGGAAGGAAGTCTATGGACAGTATTATGATTGACAATCATGAAGTCAGATCCACTGAATGTCTCAAGCTATTAGGTGTCTGTATTGATAACAATCTTCGTTTTGATGAACATATAAGTAGTATCTCTAAGAAGAGCGCCCAGCGGGTAGGCGTTCTCATGAGGCTCAGGAACCTTATACCCACACAAACTAAGTTACAGTTATATAAGGCAGCTGTTCTCCCGTATTTAACCTACTGTCACCTTATATGGCATTTTTGCCGTGCTAGTGATTCTAGACGACTAGAGCGTATCCAGGAAAGAGCACTTAGGGCTATATATTGTGATAAACATTCGTCCTATGGTCAATTACTATCTATGGCTGGGATATCTACTCTACACAACCGGCGACTACAGGACATAGCTATTCTCATGTATAAAGTTAAAAACAACATGTGCCCAGCATACATTAGCACTCTCTTTGAACAGCCTGCAATTAAGTATGAACTGCGCAATCATGACTTCACTATACCCAGATTCAACACAGTCTCCTTTGGAAAGCACTCGCTCAGGTATATGGGCCCAAGGGTTTGGAGTTCTGTTCCTAGTAATGTGAAAAAAGCTTCCACGTTGTCCTCCTTCAAATATAACATCAGAAAAGTGGATCTTAGCATGCTATTAGATGACAATAACTGCTCTAACTGCTCTCTTTGCACTTCTTAATCTTTTATTTCTTTTTTTTTTTTTTTTTTAAGTAATGGATACATTTGTACATATTGTATATAGTTCTCTCGAATTTCTCACTTGCTTATACTGTACATAGTTTTTCTTAATTTTTAATTAATTTATTAATTGATTTATTTTTTAAAATTTATTTTAGTGTCCCCACTTAGTGGTTATATACCGCTATTACAGTTTGACACTTTAATAAAGGTATCATCATCATCATCATCTAATGCTAGTATCAAATCCGTGCCTGGTACAAGCCAAACCCAGCGGAATATCACGTGCGCACCACGCCTCGATATAAATTACATCATATCGCGCCATAATGTTCGGTTATTTGGTACAAAACGTTTAAGCTTCCAGTTGCTGTATGCAATAAACTTTTTGATGCCCTGTTTCTTCCTATATTACGATACAGCTATGAGGTATGGGGTGCTTATTGTGCTTATGACAGCACTGATGCCAAGAAACAGGAAAAAGACCCCATTGAAAAACTTCACACCCAATTTTACAAACATTTTATTGGTGTAAATAGAAGAGCTATAAACATCATATCTCACAATATCGTACTATCACTTAAATCTAATATTAACATAAATGTAATAAAATTTTGGTTACATCTCGTTAGTTTACCCGATACTAGTATTGCAAAGCAATGTCTTTTACTTTCAAATCAACATGCAAACAGTAGAAAATCGTCTTTCATGTTGTCATTTCATGAAATCAAAGCCATTCGTCAATAAGCATCGTCCTATATCAATTATCTTGTTAAAATTAAGCCTTTAAACTCAAGATAAAGACTGCGGTCTGACGGACATAATACTGCTGTCTCACCCCGGCGAATTTTAAAACTTTAACAACCTGGGAGACCGTGCTTTCGTTGCTTCGGCGCCTAACTCTGGAACGATTCACCTCTGGAAATTAGAATGGCCATATCTGTTGACACTTTTAAAACATTTTTAAAGACGCATCTTTTTAGTAGGGCTTTTCATTCTGAGTTAGGTTTACTTAATACCTATACACAATTATGTAATTCTATTTTATTCTTAGTTAGGTTTTTGATATTATACACAACACATGATGTAATTCTTATTTATCATTTAGTTACTTTTATTCTAGGTATTGTTGTAATGCGCAATTGATCTTGTCATGAAAACCGCGCAATATAAATTCTTAAATTATTATTATTATTATTATTATTATTAAATCATGAAACTACATTGTAGCACTTCTAATAATAAATTACAAGTGTCTGATATTCTTGTAGAGCCAAATTGGTTAACTCGAAGCTGCCTAAAATAAAACAGGCTATCGTAGATGGCTTAAAAAAGTATCAAATGAAAATGTTGCGATCTTACAAAAAAATTGAACACTCTTAAGACTGACGTTAGTAGATCAGAATATTTAGACCTTATTAAAAACGAAAGACACCCCCAGGCGGTAGCAAATTAAAGTTACGATCAAGTAATCCGGCACAAGTTAAGAATTGAGACTAATATTTATCACCCTCCTAAAATTCTGAGAACTGCAAATACCGTGAACGATCAATATAGCTCAACGTTGGATCAAACAAGATCGTGATCAGTCGAAAAAGATAAAAATAGAATTAAAGTAAAAGAGACTACTGCAAAGAGTGATCAAACAACGTGAAAAAGGCTGAGGTATACAATATTTCGAATGGCCAATACCAATACCAGAAATATACACCTAATAAAGTTGATGAAGACTGGCATTGGACAGTCGAAATATTGTTTACCTCAGCCTTTTTCAACGTGAAAAAAGCTGAGGTAAACAATATTTCGACTGGCCAATACCAGTCTTCATCAGGTATACTAGGAAAAATATACACCTAATAAATTTGATGACGACTGGTATTGGCCAGTCGAAATATTGTTTACCTCAGCCTTTTTCAGCTTGTTTGATCAGCCTTTGCAGCAGTCTTTTTGACTTTAATTCTACTTTTACTTTCTATTTATTCAGTTATACCATTGCTGTATATGGGAATGCTATTAAAATGTTATGTTACGTTCTATGTATCGGATCAGGCCTGGTATCGGACCTCTGATATTGCGGACAATGACTTATTTTAAAACTTAAGCGTGACTGGGCAATAGCGTAGCCCGAGAATGACGTCAGGTCCGTCAGAGTGACTAATTTGCAATTTTTGTCCCAGTTTTGTCATTTTTCTCATTTTAACGACAAAAGACAAACAAACATGACACTTTAATGACAGAAGTCTCACAAAAGTGAGGAATTCGCTGATGTTGGTCTGAGTTTCGGGTCTATAAAAGTAACTGCGCGCAGCGCTATTAATTAACTCAAAGATCATGGCTGTATCGGCTGCGATCGGTGTAGCGGCAATCGCTGTCCTTTATGCAGGGAAAAGATACTTCCAAGGTCCAAAATGCAAAAGCAAAAGACGGTTAGACGGCAAGACTGTTGTTATCACAGGTGGAAACACTGGTATCGGTAAAGAAACCGCAGTGGATTTAGCCAGGCGAGGAGCAAGGGTCGTAATCGGCTGCAGAAATCTCCAAAAGGGTAACGAAGCATTGAATGAAATAAAAGAACGAAGCAGGAGCGCCAATGTTTTCCTTGAAGAGATAGATCTTGCCTCTTTGGAGTCAGTTCGCAAGTTTGCAGACAGAATTCTCAACAGTGAACCTCGCCTAGACATCCTCATCAACAACGCTGGAGTGATGGCCTGCCCATATCAGAAGACAAAAGATGGATTTGAGATGCAGTTTGGTACGAATCATCTTGGGCATTTCTTGCTGACGATGCTGCTTCTTGACCGACTGAAACGTTCTCAGCCGAGTCGTATCATAAACGTGTCTTCGTCCGTTCATAGAATGGGAAGTGGCAAGATCAACTTTGAAGATATAAACTACGAAAAGAGCTACGGCGGCTGGGCAGCCTACTTCAACAGCAAACTTGCAAACGTGCTCTTCACACGCGAATTGAGCAAACGCCTGGAGGGTACCCACGTGACAGCGAATTCACTGCATCCTGGAGGAGTCACCACTGATCTGCAGCGCCACTCTTTTATAGGAAGTGCTCTGCTCTTTCCCCTTCGCTGGTATACATTTAAGACAGCCGAACAGGGAGCCCAAACTACCATTCACTGTGCAGTCTCTGAAGAGATGGAAGGTGTCAGTGGAAAATATCTGCGAGATTGCGCCATTGTGGAGGAATCCAAGGGGGCCCAGGATGATGCCGCAGCCAAGAAGCTATGGGATCTGAGCGTGAAGCTGGTTGGGCTGGAAAAATAGACAATTAGAAGATGGAAGTGTCTAGATACCGCCTTACATATTAGGCTGGACATTTGCTCCATTTTCCTTAATTTCTTTAGCATTTTAGAACTACATAATACAGTTAGATGTGAAGAACAGTTTTATAAAAACTGGGCAAATAAACACACGATAAATATGAAAACTATAATTCATTGTAATGTAGTATATCAGGTTCTTTAAACGCTACATGTAAGAGAAGGGATGTGTTCCTCAGGAAGACAGCATTACAGAGATTAGGGATATTTGGTCGCGCTTGCGTAAGCAGCGAGACTCATAATCGGCAACGCTTTTTTTGTCGTATTTTGTACGCAAATGGGGGCTCATTGTGCCAGGCGTTCCTTGCGAAGACCGTGGAAAGTGGGACTAAGAATCGTTGCGTGATTGAAGACACCCATGTTTTGCGAAGAAAGCTTAGGGGAAGATTAAATTTAGAGCTTTTCGGAAACGTGTCGGTCCACAAATTCTATCCCTTGAAAGCGTTGATTGCTTTGGAACAAGTGAACACTTCTGAGTGGTCGAAAAAAAAAAATGATAGTAGGGTGTTGTAAACTTTCATTGTATGCAAATGGTCTTGTAATGAACATGGGGTTTAATTTCGGCGATGATTGAAATGACGTGCAATATGCAAATCACCTTTTTGATCTCTGGGAATCATATTGGCAATGATGTAATTTCTCTGGAATCGAGGCCCATGAATTTTCGTATATTTATATACGCTATAGCCTGCGACCGCAGACGTATTTCCGGTCGTCGCTAACACGCGTACTAAATCAATTCAGAAACAAAAAAAAAGTATCGACGTCGATAAAGTAGGAAGTATAAAACATTTAGCGAGTAAACCTGTTTCGTGTAGAGTTAATCGCCTCCTCATTTTTCTATCGTATCTCCAAGCAAGCGAGACGGAAGGCTTCTGTAAGAGCGTTCTTGTTTAACTAAAATTAATGATATTAACGAAAACTAACCAATTCTTGAAATAGGGACTGGGGATTATCTGTTGTAACCTGTTGTGTTTGAATAAAGAGTGAACATTGACAGGGCCATAGGGTTGCAAATGGTTCTTATAAATCGTTGTTCTCCAAAAGTTTCAATTTAATCTTGAAATCTCAGTAGAATTTGTGAAGAGCCTAGAACTATTGATTTTCTGCATTGATTTCCATCTCAGATTTTGAAAATTTTTGCCCCGAGGTGTGAGATTTGTCATCAAAAGACTTGGGGTCTTGAATGTTACATTTTACCCATAGGAAGGGAGTGTTCATCTTCTTTGATCCCATTTAATGGAAAGAAAATTGAAACATCACACCCTATGGGGAAAGTCGAAAACATAAAATTGTTTCAACAGGTTGTTTTTATTTCTTTTTTATAGACATTCACAAAGCAAGCGTTCTTAAGTTCAAACCTATTTGAAATGCCTTTGCTTTAATCAAACGGCTATAGTATCAAAAAGGAATGTCCTATTTATAGACTAAGCACCACAAAAACCATACTCTGTTCTGCAGCACACTCTTACATAGCTTAGCAGTGCGAGAGCACCTAGGCCTCTCTTAGTAATATGTCACCCCTATATATTTTGAAGGAACCTCTTAATCTGATCTGTTTAGCTAGCCTTTAAAGGAGTTTCAACTTGGGTATACTTTCCTCATTAATATTTATTATTCTAGTTGCTTATCTGTGAAGAGTCAGATCAGTCAAAAGTTATGATTTCTCTTTACTTTGCAAAATATGCAAATGTACTTTCTGCTTGAAAGGTTTAGTGTTTTTAGCTGCCTTCCTGACCCCCTTAATGTTTGCTTTAGTAGTATTTGAAACGTCAAATTGTTGATTTAGTAAGCAGTTTCTGTTTGAATATTATTTTACCTTCAAAGAAATGTGACAGCCAGGCCCAGGGGGGATGGAGCACTCCGGATTTCAAGTGACAGGGGTGATCAAATGGGGGCAACAATCAAAACCCAAAAAAATCCTTAGGGTTTCCACCATAACCCTGGACCAAAAATTAACCCCCAAAGTCACACCATCTGAATATTCAGATTGTATTGAATACCCAAAAAATCCCTACTTAAATCAAGCCACCCCAAAAGAGTACTTGCCAAACTTTTCTATCCCAAAAAATCCCGGAATCGAAAATTTCAAACCCAAAAAAATCATTCAATCATCCCCGCCACTTGAAATCCGTAGTCCCCCCACCCCCCGGGCAGCCAAGTACAGGTTTTAGTTACTGTTTGTGTGTCAAACTGAGACTAGACAACCAGGAAACGGAGTAGTCTAATGAATTATTTTAAGACAAAGTTGTATCAACTTGTTGTTCTTTTTCTTGCGCTCCAAACATTAGATATCAACAACTTAAGTACGGACTTTGCCAAAGGCAATTTTATCATTTCATCGGCCTCATTTAGTATCCATTGCAGCCGTCACGAAATAAAAACGGCTGCGTAGGAGACTAGGTTGCATTATATCACCCCAGTAAAAAACGTTGCTTTAACAAAAACTTTTCTCAAGCTTTTTACTTGAGGTAGGGGGGGTGGGAGGGGGGGACAGGAGTGGATTGGATCCACCTAGCCTCCACATATGCTTTCAACTTACCGTAGATGGGGGAAGGGGTAAAGGAGACTACGATCAGACAAACCGACGACTCACACTCACCCCCCTAACAAAACCCAAACTCATCTACCCCCTCCTGGGAAACACCTCATATCGGACAGTGTCCAAAGGGGCGTAAGCGTGACTCGGCACTTAACGGCAAGATGGCTGTTCCTGCTGCGATCGGTGTAGCGGCAATCGCTGTCCTTTATGCAGGGAAAAGATACTTGCAAGGCCCCAAATGTAACAGCAAAAGAGGCCTAGACGGCAAGACTGTTGTTATCACAGGTGGAAACACTGGTATAGGCAAAGAAACCGCAGTGGATTTAGTCAGGCGAGGAGCGAAGGTCATAATCGGTTGTAGAAACCTCCAAAAGGGTAAAGAAGCACTGAAAGAAATTAAAGAACGCAGTGGAAACTCCAATGTTTTCCTTGAAGAGATAGACCTGGCTTCGTTAAAGTCTGTTCGCACGTTTGCCGACAAAATTCTAAACAGTGAATCCCGCCTCGATGTCCTCATCAACAACGCTGGAGTGATGATGTGCCCATATCAGAAGACTGAAGATGGATTTGAAATGCAGTTTGGTACGAATCATGTTGGGCATTTCCTGCTGACCATGTTACTCCTTGACCGACTGAAGCGTTCACAGCCGAGTCGAATCATAAACGTGTCTTCGTCTGTTCACAGGATGGGAAGTGACAAGATCAACTTCGCAGACATCAACTTCGAAAAAAGCTATGACAGCTGGGCCGCCTATTATAACAGCAAGCTTGCAAACGTGTTATTCACACGCGAGCTCAGCAAACGTCTGGAGGGCACCCATGTGACGGTGAATGCACTGCACCCGGGGGTTGTCACAACCGAGCTTCAGCGCCACATGTTTTTGTCTAGTAGTCTGTTCTACCCGATCCGCTGGTACATGTTCAAGACCGCAGAACAGGGAGCACAGACGTCTATTTACTGTGCTGTCTCTGAAGAGATGGAAGGTGTAAGTGGAAAATATCTGCGAGATTGTGCCATTGTGAAGGAGTCCAAGGGTGCTCAAGATGACGAAGCAGCCAAGAAGCTTTGGGATCTGAGCATGAAGATGGTTGGTTTGGAAAAATAAAGCTGAGCGGAATCTCCTCTCATGACATCTTTCCATAACTGATTTTCCAAACCCATTTGTTTTCACTAATATAAGGTCACTAAAAAGTTTATGAATATTGTGAACTCTCCAAAATACCAGAAAGTCCAGCAAAAATGACTTTAAAGTAGTTCCGTAGCCTTTTCCACCTACTGTGCCACTCTTTACGAACGTTTATGATTCCCCAGAATTATAAGTTACAAGTAAGACAACCGGAGACAAATAGAAAAAAGTAGCTAGCATTTGTATTTGGAAAAATTAAAAAAAATAAAAACAGTCATTTAGTGATATATACGGCACATGTAATGATATTAGTTTGTAGAAACGAAACCGATGATTGGGAAGTGTGAAAATTAATAATGTCTATTTAGCTTGAATTTGACAATAGATAATCTGAACTTTCTGGCTATTTAGTGTTGTGTTACTTATTACTAGGGGCGAGTTCAGCAATGTTTTATTAGAGGCTGCAATGTTAAAGCTGAAGACCTCTTTCAGTTGTTAATGTTCTCGGATGTTATTCTTTCTTTCTCTTTTTTTCGACAATTCGACAGCGCCCGAGCTAAGAAAAGGAAAAGAAGAGGTTTACAGTCGACTCTCTCTTAACGGACACCTCTATAAGACGGACACCTCTGTAAAACGGACACCTGGAGTTGGTCCCAGGCTTTCTTAGCTCCCTCTATTTGACTTTCTATAAGACGGACATTTCTCTAAGACGGACAGCTAGTGCCGGTCCCAAAGGTGTCCGTCTTAGAGAGAGTTGACTGTATTATCACCTCCCCCACCAGCCTTGCGATTGCGGTTAATAAATCCTCCGTGATTTTGTTTTCTTACGTGCGCTCGACGATCTCTAACTATGGGCCTGTTTACAAGGAGGTGGGGGACCCCAGGTAGGTGAGGTAACCCCCTTCGGTGGGGTAACCCGCCACATGTTATCTCACTTATCTGGAGTCCCCCACCTCGATGTAAACAGGCCCTAAAAGGGAAAACAGAGGGTCTGCGAACTGGCTAAATTGTGACAAGTTGAATCAATTCCGGCTACCGTGGGAAGTAAATTTCAAAGTTTGATGTACCTAACTCCCCAACCGTAACTTGACCATGAACAGTTTTCCTTTTTTGCATTAGGGATATTAGCAAGGAAAAAATGTGAGTAAAAGATTTCTGTAGCTCTCAAAGCCTTTCAAGGATGTGCGGAGCGAAATGAAAAAAAAAGGGGAGAGCAACTTCCACTCCCGTGTAGGGTCAGGACTGGAAAACTAGTTCAAGAGTCGACAGTAATAATATCCAGCGGCTTCAACAAAGAATACAAAATGGCGGCTCGACAAGGCTTTCGCGTAAGAAAAGTGCACCTTTCTCTTGTACAGGAACGTCAAACAAATTTAAACCTTGACCAATTTTTGTCTTTTTAGGTAATCTCTAGGTTATCTAGAGGGATTCACACCTCTTGCCGAAGGCAGTTTTTGATTCCTATGGTCATCGAACAGACGGTATAAAACCTTCTTATTAACGTATGAAAGTGCAAAGTTACATCATCGATGTAGGGATGATGGATATATAGTCACACTAAAGATGGTAAATAACATAACCACATTTTCTGTGGGATACAGAACAAAAACAGTACCATTTCTGAGGGCTTCTAAGGATAAATGTTAATTTTGTGGGGAACTCTAGGCAGGAATAATTTTCTGAAGGGCTCAGGAAAAAACTCCTCATCAGTGGGGGTGCGGGTAGGGCGGGGTCGAAAAATTAAATGCAACGACCCTAAGAGATAACAGAATTTGGATTTATATGACGGCGTGATGTAGTTCAAAACCCACATTTGATGTCACCCTTGAACACCACCGAGTCTCCAGTAGTTCAGTGGTTAGAGCGACTGGCTAGATCACAGGGGGTTGTAAGTTCAAATTACATTGAAGGTTCAGTTTTTTCACCTTGTGTCCATTTGATGTAAGAACATATCTTGTTGGTGTACTTCTACAAATGACTCACTTGGTGGTTGGATGGTTGTATCTATGATATTCCTTAATGTGACTTTGTTAAGAGGAGCGGGTTGAATAGGGGTAGCAAATCCACCAATCTGTTATGATTTATTAACCAAATGCGCCGTTAAATTTTCGCCCTGAATCCGAAATCCGGGCAAAAATATTTGTATTACACGCAAAGTCCAAAATCCGGACCCAAAAAATAGATGGATCTGCATTCCGCTGCAGTTGTAGGATCCGGAAATCCATTAAAATCTCCCTTTGAGTCCAAAATCCAGGCAAAAATGTTTTAAAAATCCACCGATCCGTTCGCCTATTCACCCCCCCTCTATGAGTCATATGTACTTGTACTGATTTGACCATATGACTGCGTGATGCAGTTCTAGTCAAAGACTGACATTTCACCCCTGCTGGTCCTCGAGTGTCCAGTAGCTCAGTGGTTCGAGCATCTGACTAGATCATGGAACGTCATGGGTTCGAATCCCATCTGGGGCTCAAATTTATTTCCAAGTTTGCATTTGATGCAAAAACATAATTATCATGTTGTTATAAATATCATTTGTATTCTAAATTTAATACATTATTCTTTCCAGGGCAGAGGTGAAAGAGCATATGACATTTTTTCTCGTCTTCTTAAAGAGCGGATAGTGTGTGTCATGGGGCCTGTAAGTAACTTAGTTAAGGCCATTCTCTGCTATTTTCTGGTGTGGAGGGTGCTGGAATGTCACTATCTTTCCTTGAAATAAGCGTTTGGTGATCCCACAAACCTTCTCAGGATTGCTTATGTTTAAAACTTTTGTTTACTCCTGTAGACATAAGGACAAAGTAGATGCCCAACAGCAAAACAACTGATCAGATGAAAATATGTCTGGAATTTTGATTTTGTTGTACATAATCTTTTAATCTTTTTGGGGATATTATTTTACAGATAACAGATGAAACATCTAGCCTTGTAGTGGCTCAGCTTCTCTTTTTACAGTCAGAGAATGGTCGAACTCCTGTCCATATGTACATCAACAGTCCAGGTACGAATGACACAGAAGTAACCAATTTCCTAATGTGTTAACTTGCCTTCTGACTTGGTGGGCAAATTACTGATATTTCCTTACCATCTTTTTCTTAATTAATTCAACAGGTGGCTCTGTCACAGCAGGCTTGGCTATTTATGATACAATGCAGGTTGGCATCTTACATGCATTATGATTCTCTAAAGCTACCATGCA